TAAGGATATACTTTTTATGGATTTCTTCATATTTAAGTAAAAATAAAGATAAACAATGAGAAATAAATTTCATTCTAAAAAGTAAAATTTATTCAATTTTTAGTTTATTTTCTGTAGATTAAGCAAAAACTAAAATGGAATATCATAATGATGATTTTCCCCATTTGAAAAATTTTCGCTGATTTCGATCGACTTCTCTCTGGTTTCTCAACTACAGAATTTAAAAGTAAAAACAGAACAAAAATTTATTTTGAGAACGAATTTTCTTAAATGAATATCTTTTGTAGATAATCACCATGGTGATGAAAATCTTGATTCTACTATAGAAAAACATGGTTTTAATGGTGCGTTTCCAAGAACTTTTTCAAGTTCATCAATACTAACAACAATGAAACGAGAAACAACACCATTGGGATGATGCGTTATTGAAAAACAAATTCAATCATCATCAGATTAAAATGAAAATAACAAAACTAAAACAATAAATATGTGGAGATAAACATTATACAACAGTAAAACAAGATGGTAAAATAATTCGAGAATATGGAAATGCAACAATAGATGAATTAGATCAAATTGATTCATCATTGAATGATAATCATGATCAATCAATTATTAACGGAAAGAGACATACGGATTTTTTTCAGAAAACTTTTTTCTTAAAATAAAAGTTTTTTATTCCAATGATCTACTAAAAATAAACGAAAGAAAATATTACTCGAGTTTGTTTTTTTTTTATTTTGAAAAAAAAAACATCTAGTTGTCTCACTGTTTTTCACTTAATATATTTTATTTTTTCCGCTTTGCCAAAACTGAGTGTCTTTTCCGATTAAAAATAAACTTGTCGACAACAACATCATTTTTCTCAACAATGACAGGAAAAAAAGAAAATAGGTGTCAATTCAGATCGAATGAGCATCCGACAACTTATAAACAACTAGACAAAAACTTTTTGTTCTTTAATCTTCATTTACGATTCACTCACACATTAGAATATCAATTTAATCTTAAGGGTGTGGATGTGAGCGTGAACGTAGAGCTTGGGTGTGCGTATTAGTGTGGGAGTGTGTATGGCTGTAAGTTCTATGAAGAGAACACCGACATCGACACCCATACTCCCGCATCCATACCCATATTAAAGATATTCATATAATAAAGGTTGTGTATTAAATATTATCTGTCTCATATACTAGACAAAGGTTATAACTTTTCAATTATCATGTTTTATTATGATTTACCATTGATATAAATCCTAATCATTTTGAGTATCTGTAAAAACTACGAACGCTAATTTCGAGCTGAGTTTTATATGATTATGTGAGTCTAAAATGTGTCTGTCAATGATTCGTTAAAAACAAACTAGAGTTGATTGGGTCCCTATATTACAGAGCTACAGTTCTACACCTTTCTGATCACAAACGAGAATCTGTCTGATCAATATTTGACGTTCCCTGAGGAAATATATTAGGCAACTCTCCTCTTCCAAAAACTGTTGAAGATTTTCGTCATTACCTATTCGAAAAGCAAGCCGGTTGTGAAGAAAACTGAAAATCATTTTTCATCTTTTATCAGAGCGTAGGTTCGACCAGGTATCTCCAACGCCTTTCTATCAATATTAAAGCCTCCAAATCTTAACCATCAAAACTATAATTATTAGTTTTGATCTTTGATTTCTAAGTTGAAGTGCTGCTTAGAACAAAAACTTTGATTTTTTTCCTTTGTGAATCCATTTTAATATAAAAAACTATACCTGTATGATAACCGTTGTATAATTTGGAATGGAACTAATACCAAGATCAATAGCTTGTATTTGTAATCCATAAATATTTCGTTGTGCATAATCTAATTTTAAGACTTTCATCTACATAAAAAATCTTTCATTTGAATAAGTTCTGTATTAATCGATGTGGGTGTGGGTCTGAGATAGGGATGTGCATGTGGGTGCGTGAATGTTCCGTATCCAGATCCACACCACCTCACACCCACACCCACACCCACACCCACACAGCCACACACTCCACACCCACACACTCTACACCTACACCCATCCACACCTACACCCATCCACACGCACATCCACACCCATCCACACCCATACCCTCC